ATCTATGTGAGGCTTTATTTCAAAACTTCACTCTCTTCAGCGGTTGGTATTGCGGTGGGAAAGTTCGAACAACCTCCTCTTGCTTCCACGTTTCGCTTCTAAGTTAATGCATCTAGTGCAGTGGTTCCCAACCTTTCTACCCTGGCGGACCGGTTAGATTAAATAAAATGTATTCGCGGACCGGAAAAACGGGAAATAGGTGGAACATAAAATAATAACATATACTTGCATAACAACATGAAGTGCTGGGCACCGATTTCGCGTAAAAAATACACCAAGAAAAACCTCACATAAAAAACATGTACATGCCAAATCATGTACAAACACAATTACCCATAGCGAGAATTTGCTGCTGTTTCGTTGCCAATACAAGATTGCAAACGAGGCATAAAAAATGGTTTTGCAACACCTAGCTCTGCAGTGGCTCACAGTCTATATTTTTTCTTCGTTTTAGTTAAAGCTAACGATGATAAAGTTTTTTTCCTACAAGTAACTGGTTGAATATTTGGACAACAGTTTGATTGTTCGATTAACTAGCGATAAGCATTCGTTATCGAGAGGGCTCAAATATTGTGACAGTGATTCTTTTATAAATCTGGACTGTAAACTAGTGGTTTCATCATATCATCACTCTGCATTTGATCGATGCCTCACAGACAAATGAATTTATATGACAATGATAAAGTAGTTTCTAACTTGGCACCAGGGGGTCAAAATCCTGCTGTGCATCACCTAGAAAAGATCTTAATGTTTTTGTTGTGCGTCTCATGACCACCTACTGGGCCGCAACAAGTTCATATCTTGCTGGTTCCCAAGACATACTCTGTAATATTATACAATTCTTGACTGTTTTCTAGTTTAAACAAAGAAATATTCATAACCTTATATTTGAATGGTAATATTAATCAAAAAAAGCACGCAGAACGGAAAAAGCACGCATGCTGATTTCCAGGTTTATGAATCTTGCGAGATTTGACGGAGCGATTTTGCGATGAATCGGAAACGAAAAGTGTGATCACACGGCGCCAGTAATATAACGGCGGAAGAGAAATGCGTAATAAACCAGCGTAAATCCGTCTTTTCGGATTCGATAAAGCGATCGAAACGGCAGAAAATCAACAAAACGAAATTTCTCACTGAACAGCAAAATAGCTTCGTGGACCGGCACCGGCGGTTGGATCAGTAATCAGTAATCAGTAATTTATTTCTTCACCAAGCTGAAAGTACGAATTATACATACACAAATAAAGGGAATATAAAAGACCGCATTCCAGGGTGAAAGGAGACGCCGAAAACCAATTCTGGTTATCGAGCGGCGGCACCCTCGGGGAAGTCTAACAAAAACGTGATAAATATAATTGAATCGAACCACTGATCTAGTGCGTCAATATGCTTTTTCTGATTTGAATGGCGTCTTAGATAGTCAACTTCCCATTCAAGATTTGCCTTTTCCAAATCACTATTAGGTGCCACTTCCCGACAAATTTTGCAGATTATCAGATTCCTTAACGCGGAACAGCGATAAATTTGCGTCACAGGCATACAGAAATCAATGTACTTGAGCGTGACATACACGTGTGTGACTTCACAATGACCAGTGATCACCAAAATACGCGTGAAACATAGAACAGCATTCTAGTTAAGCGTTAATAAATATGACATATAAAATATGAGCCATGCTTTGATAACGAAATGTTGCAACTGCGCGAGAATGAGATTTTACTGCGCAATTGCTCAGTTGCCCAGCTTAGATGGAACCTTGACCGTAACTATGCTAAAAGTCTTCAGAAGACAAAAATATTATTCATTACTAAATTTCGGGAATACAACTAATACTGACAAATTAGTAGCAAAAACACGAAGACGGAAACAATGATGAATTATTTACATTGTCTGTTTATTTCGAACTGTAGAACAATATATTGAAATTTAACTGTTCCACATTCGCACAGAATTAACAAGTTTTGTCGATCATCATTCTATTTTCAGGACGATCACCTTGCAAACAGCGAGATAGCAAATTAGTTTACAATAATGTATGCTATTTTTAACGTTTGTACGGGAGTTCACGGAACGACTGGTAAATTATAGGCAAGTGGAACTAATATGTCAGGAAGATTACAGCCATCCAGACAATGTTTACGGTTCTGATTACCACGATGCAATCCAGTCGTACCTCGTATTTAAACGATCTTATCTTTATATTGGGATGAAGTATGATAATAATATAGTGGTGAGGTGAGTTGTGTCTTCCGGGCGTAATTATTTTGAAGTAATTTAGGCTACTTTAAACGAGACTGAAAAACTTGATTGGGACACATTTCTAGATAGTATGCTCCCCAGCCTTTAAATTCATGTCGATGTTCCAAATTTATGTGATGGTAAATATTTTGCTATTTACGATAAAAACATTTGTAACTTATAAAAATGGTTGTATTTTGCTGACCATCTACATCGGCATATACGCCACTTTGTGAATATTCAAATGCAGAGGTGTAGAGAAATCACTGTTCCTCGTTGGTTTCGAAGTTATTTAAATGACACATAGGCTACTTTCTGCAAATTCCTTACACTATGAGTGTGCCAGTAGATTATTTTTATAACTTAAACTGAAAGCCAAGACCTTATGCTTCTGGGGCTCAGCTCAGCCACAAGACGGAGCTCTGAATCATTACTCAGCCTTGAGCGTTGACATGACAGGCGACGATGTAGCAGCGGGTTTATACCATTAAGATCCATAAGCGTTTTTTAACGGAGTGTTGTGCGAAGGGAAAGGTAGTCAAGAAACGTTTTATTAAATCCATAAGTTGCGAAAAAATTAATATTGGTAATTCAAAAGGCCACCAAACAACTTACCACACTAAATAGCATTGTTACGTATTAATATAGCATAAGAACAGATAAGTTAAACGAGATAACAATCGGAGACCGCCGACTTATCGATCTAGTGACATGTATCATTCGCTCTGACTAAATCGCGACACCGTGTGTCGCATCACTAATGAATTATTAACTTACTAATTATACGACATAATTCATTCAAAATCAATAAGCTTCTGGTCCGAGATATGATAAATGCACATGCAAAATTTGGAGCAGATAAACCTCGCTTCCGTGATATATCGCGAGTGTCTAACAGACAGACAAATAGGCTACCTATCAACATATACTTACCGATCGAGATCGATAAGTAAGAAGCTCAGCAAAGAAGGTTAAAACAAGATATAATAATGAGAAGGCTCTTTTTTCCAGTCTAAATTAATATGCGTCGTCTAACATTATTAGGCCGAGTGCAATAATGAGTTTTGCCACAATAATGTAAGCCAGCATTATATGATTGCGTGGTCTGTCTTCTTTGTTGTTATCATCAAGTACCGACAGAATGAACATCCATTCATACATACTCAGCTGTGTCTATCATTTCCGTATTTTATTATTAGCTTCCACCTAACCTCTTCGTGGCCATATTTGAGTAACCTTCAGCTTTTCGCACTGATGCATCACAATACAACAAAGTTTTACCGCCTGCATCTGCCTGAAACAAGCTTTTTCTGTACTGTCAATTACGCTAAATTTGCCATCATAATACCATTTGAAAGTTAGAAGCGCTTTATTTTACTGGCTAGTCAGTCAAGTCAATTTTATCGCCCCCACCATTCAGTTCTTGTCGTGGCAATGCGTGCACTGACTGAGTATGAAGTATCAAATTATATATTCCAACGTCATTTCACTTTTTTAATTGTATTTTGACTTGATAACTTAGCGTTGAAATTGATACCGCCACTGCAAATTATTTTAGTAAATGTTATCGTATTTTAAATATGAAACAACTTGTCGGGTGCATAAACACGAGCCAGCAGTGCCTTATGTTATTTTTGAGTTCTTCATATTTGTTAATGGAGATTTTGCATAAAACTTTTTTATAAAATTATGTAGATTGGGTTATATTATGGAAACATTTCGACAGGTTGAATAAATTTAATAATAATAAATGATTTTCTTGAAAAATAATTTTGCGTAACGGCAGTCACGTGATTCTCCGTATATTTATATAGGTGGCGATAGAGGGTTAGAAAGCCACAGCGTGGCTTCCCGGTATAGCTTGCGGCAGCTTCCGTTTGTTTTGGTTCGGCCTTTGGTGGCGTAAATTCAAAAATCGCAGCCAAGTGCACACACTAATTAGAATAGGATTCGGAAGTTTAACAAGAGGAGTAAATGGAGTATAGTAAATTGCCGAACTTTCAGCTACAGAGCTGTGGAATATAGGCAGACAAAAGCGCCAGTAATCAGTGTTATGTTCCAGTGTTTACTGCAGTACGACTTAACGGACCAATAATTTAGTTCAGTAATTGGACGCTTCTGATATGAAACAAGACAAGAACAGGCATACAAATTTTGAAGTAACCAGGAGGCCCCAAGGGAGTGACTCAATCAATAAACTGATAGGGGAAGGCAAAAACACAAAATCCTGATACCGGTATTACTGAATTAAAGCTTCAATCAACAGATCAATGTCAGAATGTACCAGTAGACTATTACTGTATTATGACTTAAAACATTTAAAATAAACATAGGTTTGTAGGTGTGTATGCAATATTAATGTGTACATTCAAGTGTATTCTGGCATTCCTCATTGTAAATCTAAAAATTTAAGACACTCAAACACTTTTCTATCTAGTTATCTTTTTTCACTCCATTTTTTTGATTTTAAAGCGCAATCATAGTAAAGACTGCAGAATATGACAATCCTACAATCATTGAATTGAAAGTGTTTCGTAGTTCTGTTTCTGGTTCGTGTTTCTGGCATTCATTTTGAAACTTCTCTGGTTTTAATGTTTACTGGTTAATGATCTTTCCCTGGCAAAGTTGATTTTAAACAAATATATGTCAAATGAAAATTCCGCCATGTCAAGCTGGTCTTATATGAAAATCTATATATCAAACAATAACAATCAAAAGAATTGATAAATTTTGCAACTTGAAAGTATATAAATTTTATTTCACAGTTTAGAATAAATTACATCTGAACTTAAAAATAGCAAGATGTCTTCAATAAATCCAAAAAGGATGAAAGTAGCAGAGTTGAAAAAGGAATTGGAGAGTCGTAGCATCTCTGTCACAAAAAATATGAAAAAGGCTGATCTTGTAGCTTTGCTTCTTTCTGCAGTTGAAAGTGAGTATACGATTTGTATTGAATCATATTTTGTATTATCATATAATATATATAAAAGTAAATCGTTATTTTCTTTTTTTGTCGAAGGCGAAACAGGACAAGAAAGAGAATTTTCATCGTCAGAAGCGCCAGACGATTCTGCACAGAGTGAAGTTGAAGGGGGAGATTCAATATTAGAGGATGAAGTATGTTATAATATATATAGTTTTAAAGTTATTTTTTATCCACGATCAGTTGCAATGTTTTTCTATATTTCTTTCTTTTATTGAATTTTGGTACAAAAAATGCATTTATATTTCAGTGGACCTTTGATATGTGGCGAATTCTAAAATGAACATTAGCAGAGTTTATGTTGAGATTCCTAGTCTGAATTTTTGCAATATTGACTTTCATTCGACTTGAATGCTTTGGGCGTCACTTGTTTTTGCACACTTCTCATAATATTTTTTTGTCAGTAGTTCGACACAACATTATGGTAACATTTAACAATTCAACCTCGATCGGCCTAATTTAAAACATGGGTTATTTGCTAGGCAATCTGGATTCATTTTCAGTTGCTCTTTATAATATTGAGAGAAAATGCAAATTTTTGGCTCATTTTGCAGCCTGCGGAAGAGCCACCTCCAGAAGTGAGTGAACCGAATCAAGAGGAAGCAGGCGGAGAAGAGTTTGAATCTTTTTGTACAGCAAACGATGAAACAGAACAAGTGCAGGAACCAACAGAGGATGTTGCTGAACCGACGCCAGTTGAACAACAGGAACCTCAAGAAGAGGAGAAAAAAGAAATTGAACAACAGATCGAAGAACCTCCTCAGCCTGAGGAAGCCGAAACGGAATCAAAACAAGAAATGGAAACTGCGGAGCCAGTTGCAGAACCTGCTGTTAGTATAAATTTTCCAAAGTTAGTCACTGTTGAATGTACTTTTTACACCATCTGTGTTCCTTTTTATATTTCGTTTCAATCCAGTGGACCTTCTGGGTAAAGCGATAGACTTGAGTAAGTTATAAATCTCTGTTGAAATCTCATGCCTGCGCTTAACCCAGGGTGTAAGAAATTGAGTCGGCAATGACGAATGGGCAAGTTCTGGTCATTCCAAAATATAATAGCCCCTACCTACCAGTGACTGCGTGTTCAGATCATTGTTCAGAGTGCTACTGCAGTTATCAATAGAGAACCAAATATTTAAATGAGGTCAATGATTTGTTGGTTCAATGTAGTGTTTTGCAATTATTAAAAAGATAAACAAAACACTCTTTATTCTTAAATAGGATCTTCTGCTCTATTGTAAAAATTAGGTAGGTTCGCAGTATGAAAATTAAAAACTTTTCTTACTTTGATGACTATTAGATCCAATGTTATTGTGCATGCCAGTCATAGTCCCTGATATAAAATTGAATTCGGAATCAACTCAATATCATTAAAATTACCTGTTTGTAGAAAAAGGCTACATTTGTCCAGTTGACATAGTTTCTTTCATTATTAATTATATATTCAAATTTTTTTATGATCCAATTCGAATCATCTAATTTAGGATTGAATAGTTTGGCGTGATACGCTATGCTTATAACGTCCTGTTATACTGACTGTTTTCATTTATTGTTCGTATATAGCAGACTGAAGAACAAGAAGAACAGAAACCCGCAGAAGAAGTTACTGACGATGCTGCAGCTACAGATCAAACTGCAGAAGTAAAACAAGAAGAAGGTGAATTATTGAGAATTTCGTAAAACTATTTTTCGATAAAATTTATAAAATTCATATTCATGATGCATTTATTGAATTATTAACATAGAACAAGCTCCAAAAATTGAGCAAGAAGAGTTCTCAACTCCACGAGATGTGCAAGATGTGGAAATGTCTGAAAATGTGGAAGATGCAGAAAAGAAGAGTGAGAGTGCAGAAACGAAAACTGAAGAATCTGGTGAAAGTAAGGTTGAAATATAATTTTGAATTATGGGAAATTACTGGAAAAGCATACAATACTGTGGATTGGTGGTTCTCGAACTTTTCAAGCCCGCTCCCTGTTTAGAATTTGTCAAGAATTAGAATTTGTTGTAAATAATAAAATAAATGAAATGTTTTAAACACAAATAAGGCCTTCAAAATCCAGTCTAACAAATATTTTTAATCAGCTTCACGCTCCCTCAAAAAAAATTTTCAGTGAAATATTTTATTGATGTGTCAATTTTTTTTACTATAACTTGAATTTTTGCTTTTTTTTAATACAGCTGGTGAAAAAACAGATGAGAAACAAGCAGAAGAAAATGGTGATGAAAAACAAGAAAGTAAAGGTCATTTGACAAATACTCAAATATTTTTTTTCTAAGATTTGTCATTAAAACGTTCATTTTCATTATTAAGTAAATAATATTTTGAAATTCAGTTAGATTCAAAATTTTTTAATTGTTTTGAAATGCTACATAACCGATAAATAAAGTAAATATACTTTTTTATTATTCTTATTCAGAATCAAAAGATGATTATCATGATCACGCCAGAAAACGTCGTCACGATGATAGATATGACAGACATAGTCGCTGGGAAGACAGGTATATTTTACTCAATTTCTTTAAAATGTGCAAAAAGGTTGGCTGGAAATGCGTTATTCGGTATATTATGGTAATAGCTGTTGACAAATATTTTATGAAATGACATTTTTATTCTGTCTGTTGATCCATATAATAATAGTTCATAGTAATTTTTGACATATTTATTCACCTTCTCACTCTGATATATTGTCTCTCTTTTTTTGTTAGATTTGCTCCACCAGAAGAAGAACCAGAAGAGGAATTTGATGACAATCTTGTGGTGTTAGATCTCTACAACAGCGATCTGAATTTCAAAGTGAATCGTGACAGAACTGGTGGTCAACCTCTCACAATGGAAGGTTTTGCTTACCTCTGGGGTGGTGCTCGTGCCACTTATGGAGTAAAAAGCGGGAAAATCTGCTATGAATGCAAGGTATGTTACTTGATTAGAAACATTTTACTTCTGCTCTAATATATGGTGAATAAATGATTCGTAATCTCAATGATTGAAATATGAGAAACGCGCGAATCTATAATTCCCAAGCCATTTAAAAAACGACTCCTAACTTCGGGTCGTCAAAATGTTAGACTCTCGATTCCAGGTTGATGGAAATTTGACTCCAGTCAGGAAAACCAAATACATACACATATGCAAGCTCTCCTCTTATTGTCTGTTGGGAACTAAATGCTTTTATGAGTTTCTTTTGGCGTTATGTGGCTGGCCATAGCTTTGATTAGAGCTCAGGCTTGCTTTGAAGATAAAATATATATGAATTTTGACGGATCTAAAAAAGTAAAATTCAAATTATTGGCAAGAATTTACTCTAATGGACGTTTATACCACAATTATTCATATTTAAATTTAAAGCAACTCTTTAATATAGATTTTAGAGGAAGAGGCAGTGAAGCATTTGCCATCTGACGAACCCCATCCAAGAGTTGTGCGAGTTGGTTGGTCGACTGAAAAAAGCGGAATTCAACTTGGTGAGGAACCTCTATCGTTTGGATATGGAGGAACAGGCAAATCTTCCGTCGATTGTAATTTCAATGACTTCGGAGAAACTTTTCATGAAGGAGATGTGATTGGATGTTATGTTGTGAGTACTTGTGAAATATTTCTTCTGTTTTTATTTAATTGGCTTTTAAACTACAGGTCTGTTATGCCCTGGTTTGTTACTTCTTTGGACACATGTCTCTCAAAATAATGTTCAGAGTCAGACTGTTTCTTGGTTCTGTGATTCTCTGAGTTGAATGCTAATTGGTTCTGAGTGTCTTTTGTACTTCTTAATGAATTCTTTTGTACATCTTTATAAGTTAATTTTAAACCAGAGTTTTTTGTTCTCCTTAGAGTGAGTAGTTTTCATGCTGAGTGAGTTCTTCCTGAGTAACTTTTGTTTGGGATTTTAATAAGTGAGCGCTTTTGTACTCTCTTACTGATTTTGTGCAACTGAATAGTTGCTTCAGTACTTCAGAGTGATTACATTTTGTGCAGAGCGAGAAGTTTTTATAATTAAGTTTTGTTTAGGACTTTAATTGAGTGCTCTCGGACTACATTATAACTACTATTTGAGTAGTTTTTTAACAAATATCTTTCAATATTTTTATCAGAACTTTGAGCAAGAAGACAAAGTTGAAATCTCTTATACCAAGAATGGGAATTATCTTGGTGTTGCATTCACTGAAGAAAAAGCAAAATTAGAAGACCCTTTGTTTCCCCATGTTTTGTGCAAAAACACCAGCGTGGAAATGAACTTCGGTCAAAAGGTAAGGATTTCATTTTGATGGAAGGCCTGTTCAGGCTGTAGTGTCAGAGTCTGTTTTTGGCCGGTTTTATTGATATTGATAATAATCGATTGATATCTGAGCTCGGGTCAAATTTTTGGCTACGGTATAGAGGTTAGAAGACAAAATTTTTGATAGAAACTGTTAAAATTAAGTTGACTATGCATTTTTGACAGGTAATTAAAAAAATGACTGCACAACACACACTTCATAAGTTCATAAGTTTGAATTCAAAATTTTCCGTACCTGTAGTTTGAAGCTGGAATCGTTTTTAAAATCCACTCATAGTCTTTTGTCAGGATTTTGTTTCATTAAGTTTTTTCGATTCCTCAACTTTGTATAACTTAACCTTATAGCTGAGCAATAGAAAAGTTATTCTCGATAAGTTCTATTTCTGACTTATCACAAAATTTAAATTTTAGGAGGCACCGTTCTTCAGTCATCCGGAAGAACTCACAGACTATACTATGATTGGTAGTTTACCATTAGAAGACAGAGTTCGTGCACAAAAAGCACCAGAAGCCAAAAAGGATTGTGAGGTAACATAAACCAAGTATTCTTGAATAGCCGAAAACTTTAGAATTCATTCGTTTATAAATATTTTAAGATGCTACAAATGTTCGTTAATTTTAAAAAAATTTACATGATTTATGATTTTCTTGAATGTATCGAATTGTGTTTTTTTGGTACTCGTGAGTATGTGTACCAGGTTAGGGTTAGGCCATAGTTTTATTCAGATTTTCCTTATTTTAGTTCCATTACCAGTTCGGGACTGTCTATGTTAGCCAAGTGAATATACCCCTACCCATAGGTTTTAGTCCCTTTACACAACTTTATGTGAAGTGGGCGAACACAATTTAGTTATTTCCTTATTGGTACACATACTTCTTGGAGTGCTTTTCCTTCGCTTGATCTCTGCCTTCAAATTGTTTATTCTTCAAATTTTTTTTTAATTTTCAACATAGTTTAATAATATACAGCAGTTAAAAATAACGCATGCCATAAAATTAGAACATTTCATAATTATATCCATTCAGTTGAATTCAATTTCTTTATTTATTGCTAAATTTTTTTGGGGGGTAGAAATTTTTGTATTACTATTCAGGTCCTAATGATGTGTGGACTACCAGGAGCCGGTAAAACATATTACGCGGTGCAGAAGCTCAAAGAAAACCCAGACAAGAAATACAACGTCCTGGGAACAAATGCTATCATGGAGAAAATGAAGGTAATTTCCTAATAATAACAAATCAATCTACATGTAGGCTACACTTGTACAATAAGACTTGCATCGCATACGTCAAAGTTTTCGTGACCAAAATTTCCTTCACTTGAAGAGTTAGCTGGGATTGGTGTCAAAATTCTTTAAACCTGGTGCTGGAGTCTCTGTTTAAATGGCCCACCGTTAATTATGGAAAATGAAAATGCCATAGTCACACACCCATTACCATATTCACTTATCTCAAACTTCTTTGTAACTCAGGTCATGGGTGTCGCTCGCAAACGAAATTACGCAGGAAGATGGGAAATACTCATTCAAAATGCTACACACTGCCTCAATCGTTTGCTTCAGCTTGCATGCAGGAAACGAAGAAACTACATCTTGGATCAGGTAATGAAACGAAAAACCAAGTATAGTAGGAATAATATTATGAAATTGTAATCGATATGCGCAATTTGAAAAGAACCATTTTTTTTTTTAAATATTTTTGATTTAATCATGAATCCAGAATATTGTTTTAATTTAGCAAATTTTGTTGAATTTTCTTATTTATATCTGGCCGCGCTGAATCAAACGATGGTTACTGTTCAAATGAGTTGAAAGGAAATATTTTTTTTGCATATAAAATATAGTCTGAATCGTGCACGACCGTTTATGATGTAGCTTGTTCTGGGTTTAAGACAAGCCAATGTATTATTCAGCTTATCTTTGTTATTAGATGACTTCCTTGTTTATATTCAAAACAATAAATAATCTACAATGTTTATGATTTCGAATAATTTTTTTGGGGTCAAAGAGGTATACGTTTGCTTATAAAGTTTGCTTAAAAAGATTCTGTGTTTTCGAGGGCTATCTACATATTGTGGTAATGTCTAACTGTACCTGCCGAATTGCAAATAGGAACTTGTTTAAAGTGGTGTTGAATATTGGCAAACGGCAACAAGTTGCTAATTTTTAGATGTCGATTTAATCTGATAGTATTAGATCAAATGTATTGTTATTTCCCTGTTTCCTATATTATATACAGAAAATAAATCGTAAAAATTTGAAAAAAAAAACAATTGAGAAACTTCCTAAATGCAGAATAATTTAAAGTAGTAAATCATAGAGCTGCATTGAGTTTGCTATATCTATGTCTCATAAAAATAATAAAAATTGTTATCATAAAATACTGTATCGGATATATGGAAATTTTTGATCTGAAAGCTTTGATAGTGTTAATATTTGTTCTATGGTAAATTTGATTCTTGATAGTGTTTTTATACGTCTGGAGTAAACAGTATAACTTGTGCGTACTTAGAATTTCAAAAACATATACCGGTAGGTTCATTCTATAAGTAAATTATTATGATACCTTATTCAATAAATGTTAACGAATCTGATTCGTTGCATTTTATATCAAGTATATTATTATGATTCATTATGAGACAACACTTGCAAATATGTTCAATTCGGTGATAAGAAATACTTTGATAACAATTTTTGGTCACGTAGTTGCCATACAGAATTTCATAGCTTATCCTTATATATAGAAAATGGTCTTTGTTTTAAAGCTGCAGTAAATATAATGCATTTGTAATCTTACTTATTTTCCACAATTCAATAATAGCTTCAAATTATGATATAATTTGTAGTTTTTACAAAATATGTAAGTTCACCAGGAAGTTTGGAAAATACTGAATCTTATAGATGGTGATTTATTCATTTAATACATTAGTTTCCTTTTCTGTTTGTGAATAAGAAGTAGTACGAAGAAATTGACTTGGCTTTAATATTAAATAAAAATAAATAAGTAAAAATAATTTTATTTATTAGTTTTAATATAATGTTGCTTTTGCTACTTTTGTTTTGTATTATTCTATGCAATATTCTGGATTCGTGAAACTAAAAAAAATGGAAATTCAATATTTTTTCTTGCCTCAATATCAATTAGAAAATTACTGATTTTATTTTGGTTCTTTTCATAATGTACTTATCGATAGCAATACTTAACACAGCTTCAGAGAACGGTGAGTATTTCCTAACCATATACACATTTGTCTGATAACCATATGAATTTTGTATACTCTACAGATATATTGAGATAAAATGCAAAAAAAACTGTTAACTAATCCGATTCCTTGCATTTTTTCCCCATGTATTGCTTTGCTCAAACCACACGATAACTTTACGTGGTGGTGTACGATGTCATGTGATGCATCCTTACAATCAACAATGAATGAATGAAAATAGACAAATGTGTATCCGTCGGCCCAGAGACGGAAAATGCGTCCGTTTGAGGGCTTTCAGCGCAAGGCTATTGTTATTGTGCCGAGTGATGAAGAATATAAGCAGCGTTTTGAAAAACGCACACAGGATGAAGGGAAGGAAGTACCTGATATGGCCGTTCTTGAAATGAAAGGTATCGTAACCGTCAGACTTCACGTCTCGATGGGTACTATTAGTTGTCTTATAATATACGGCCTTATTGTCTAACTAGCAGTTTGGGTATAATTTTTTTTTTGTACGAAATTAACTTTATTTTTCTTTTTTTTTTCTTGTCTCTAGCTAACTTTTCTCTCCCCGAGAAAGGAAACTTGTTCGACGAAGTAATCTTTACCGAGCTGGAGAGAGAAGAAGCAGAAAAACTTGTCGAAAAATACAGAGAAGATGGACGAAAGAATGGTCCACCTCCTGAAAAAAGATCTAGAAGTATGGATTTTTTGTTGACTGTCTGGATACTATTTGCGATAATTGAAAATGAAGATATTTGTAAAATGTGGTTGTTTTTTATTCAGCGCTTGAGCGCCTTCTACTTGTACAAGTAGTGACTGCTTCCTGCTGTTGTGAATATAGTATTATCAAATATTTTTGAAAAACTTCTGAGAACAAATAACAGGTGAAGCCGCGGGCCACATCTTTATTTAACATAGGCTTTCTAGTAGTTACTGGTACAAAAGTTTTGGGTATTGATCTTCTGACATGTTGTTCGCTTTGCTCAGGTGTAACGCAAAAGAATTTGAATTTCTCGCACATATTAGATTAAACTAATTTAAAAACTCATTTCGCTGGCCTCACACTATAATATTGGCACTTCTCTGTGACCTACACAATTTTTCCTTGTGGGATACATTTGGCTCGCGGGTCGCAGGTTGAACACCCCTGATTTACAGTATTCTCTTATATTTTACTTGAATTTAACTTTCTAGCTGTTCTTATAACATATTTCTCCTTATAGATGGTGACAACAGGAGCAGAGGACCCGGTGGTTGGCGTCAAAGAGACAACTATGGACCACCCATGCCCTATGGAAATAGGGGTGGTTGGGGAAGATACGGAGGAGGGGGTGGGGGCCCAATGGGGTACGGCAGAGGAGGAGGAGGAGGTGGTTTCGGGGGTGGATTCAGAGGTAGAGGTGGAGGCTATGGAGGAAGAGGTGGTTATGGAAACAGAGGATACGATCAGGGAAGAGGTAAGTAGTATCTATAGTCAAACGAAATTTTGTGATATTTTTATAGTATTCAATATGTTTATGGGCCACTCCTGTGATATGTGTACCAAGTTAGGGTTAGGCCATAATTTTATTCCGATTTTTCTTATTTTAGTTCTATTAAGAGTTGGGGAACAGTTTGTGTTAGCCAAGTGAATATACCCCCTGCACGTAATTTTCAGTCCCTTTACACAACTTGATGTAAAGTAGGCAAACAAAATTAGTTACCTCCATATTGGTGCATACACTTCTGGAGCACCGTTTATGGTGTTCTGTTCCTGGCAGCATAATTGCTATTGGTAGTGGAGGTGTTTATTCTGTTCAGTTAGGTAAATTTTGGTAAATTACCGATACTTGTCTTGCCAGTTTGATGTCACTACCCATGTGTTACGAATCTTGCTTCATTTAAACTAAAATCATTGACGGAGTCATCTGATAAGATGGTTTGATCATATTAACAAACCACAACCTTTAGTTGTTAATTAGATTCTGTCTAGCACTTGTATGGGAACTACATTCTACAGTTTCAGCATGCCAATTTTAATACTTGCCAGGTGGTAAAGTGCCATATTAAAATCTGAGAACTATGGTTTGTTTGTCAATCTAAAATGCTTGTCAACGTCTTAATGTTTCTTCTGAATCAGGGGTGGGCAAATTACGGCCCACTGAAGTGTTTCGTCCGGCCAACTTGTGTCTGCTGAAACTATGACTATAGTTTTTATGAATATATATTTCTATGAAAACATTGATGGGAATAACAAATTGTTGGCAAAAATATTCTCCACATATAACCCTAACCTAAATATAATGCGCAAATAAGCCTCATATACCTCAAACTCACCCATCCGAATTATTAATGTCATTGTAAAACTTTAGCTTCTCTGCCAGGAACAGTGCTCGGGACTAGCGTTTAGACGTGCAAATTACCTCTTTCATTCATAATTTCCTATTGGGTTAAGAACTTATGGCCCAGTGACCAAGTCTAGTATCTGTAAGTGGCCCACTAAAGAAATTAATTGCACACCCATGTTCTAGATTACAACCGTGGAGGTGGACGAAGAGACAATCGTGGCGGAAGTGGTGGTGGCAGCCGTGACGGAGCCAAAAGAGGTAAAAGCAATAATGTAGCAGAATTTATTTGCATAAATTATGTGAGATGCTTGCATCACATCAACACAGATGTTTCCAACAACAACAACAAGAGAGTAGTAAATTTATGTTGACTTTGTGTCTAAAATGCAAATTTCACTTCAAAACAGCAATTTTGAATTGTTCAAATTTTCATTATTTTGCAGTTTTTATTTCGTTCACAGTAAATCTATGGAAAACCATACAATGTAGCTAGAATCGATTCAAACATTTTTACATATTTATTTTATATTTGTCATTTCATTATTTGTAGTCTCTCATTTTGTGTTTCGCTAATACAACAGGTGGATGGCAACAGAGTCGTGGCGGATATGGAGGTGGACGCGGTGGCGGAAGTGGTGATATGTATGGCGGATACAATAAGTATGTTTTTATAATATGAATAATTGAATGAATCTTCCATCTATTTAATTGTTATTGTCCAATGTCCAGTAATGTTCCAATTACTCTCAAATTTGATGGTGTTTATGCCTTACCTAAATTCAGTTTTTCGTGTTGAATATAATACCTTGACGACGAATTTCACACTTCTCAAAATAGGATTCTAGAGAAGCAGAAAAATATTCAGAGCGGCAGAATAGTTACCATTTGGCGTTGTCTATGCATTATGTTTTACCCCGAATGAAACGCTGTTAATGTTTCTAATAATTTCCATTTTCAGGCACAATCAAGGAAGAGGAGGAAGTAGTAGTAGTAGCAGTACCGGCAGTGGTGGAGGAGGTTATCGCAATGGAGGCGGAAGTGGTGGATACCAGGGAAGACAAGGCAGTGGTGGACAGAATAAATATCAAGGAAATAATGCCTCATCTAACACTCATCCTTCAGCTCAGGTATGATGTAGTGAAAAATATGATCAATGTTTTTGCAGGTGTAATGTTCAGTATATTCAACCTCTGTGGCTCCAAAGCTTCTTTTTACATAGGACCTGGGCTTCTACTTCATGATAGGCAATGGTTTTTATTGGTATGACCACTACCATTTTAGCCATATTTCTTGCCACTATCCAGTTAGTTGGACTCTACAAGTGGTTCAGTGACATGGGAAATTCAAATATCTCTGTAGTTCCTGTAGCTAAATATGTGGTCATATTTTGGAGTATCGGCTATAACGAAATTTTCATTTCTTGATATTTCAATTCGTAATTTTCATTCGTTTTTTATCTCTGGTCGTGACACTTTTAACTCCTATTATCCTCTCTTTTTAGTCATACACTTACGGTCATCACCCGAACCAACAGCAACAACAACCACAACAGAGGCAACAACAACAAATGCAGAATTACGCCAACTATGGTATGCAGGGCTATAACTATCAACAACCTAGCACTCAGTCACAAACTTCAAATGCTCAGACCCAACAACAAGGCTACCAACAACAATACGGACAACAGGTTTTTTAGATTTTTTAGTTCAGTTGCTAATTAATCCGCAAAATGTATTTACCCCAACTCAGAACAGTGGGACAAGTGTAGCTAATTGAAACAAGGGCGCTCCAGAAGTGTGTGTACCAATCTGGAAGTAACTAATTTTGTTCCCTACTTCACATCAAGTTGTGTAAAGGGACTGAAAGCTATGGGCCCCCTGCCCTGTACATTCACTCGGATAGCAGTCCCCGAACTCGTAATAGAACTAAAATAAGGAATATCGGAAAACAATTATGGCCCAACCCTAACCTGGTACACACACTACGGGAGTACCAACAAGTGTACTAAAAAGGGTAAAAGCGGGACGCAACATTTTTGTGACATCGTTCTGAACATTGGTCTATTATTGCCTTACCGCTTTTTTGCACAGCAAATGTACATCACTTTTTTTTTCGGTGATTCTGATAAGTGAATAAAATACCATAAAAGAAGTTGTCAAAATAATATTAGGCAGTTGGTAAAATAATTTTCCTAAATTATTTAAGTAGACAACATTTAAACGAGAATATCGGTTGGAAACCGAAGACTTATCGATTGATAGTTAGGGGATCCCCTAAAACAGAAACTGCAGTTTCGATTCATCCGCTCTTGTAACTTGCGCATCGCACACACACTCTCGAGGGGTCTCAAAATTCTCTCGCTTTACAAAAATCCAGATCACTATATCAATAATTGATTGATAACTCGCTAATTATACGACATAATTCGCCCAAAATCAATAGGCTTCTGGTCCGAGATAAGATGAATGCACATGCAAAATCTGGAGCAGATTCAATCTCGCTTTCGTGAGATATCGCGTGCATCTAACAGACATACAGACAAATACTTATCAACATACTTACCGATTAAAATCCATAAGTAAAAACATGCGCATGTGCCTTTTGAAAGAGCTGTTCATGTTTACTGTGCTGACTAGGTATTTATTTTTCGAACAAATTAATATTTCTTGACTCAGATTCAAGCATTTCGTTCATCTTTTTGTACATTTTTTAATGTGTTTATTTTTATTTGTATATTCAGGATTACAGCCAACAATGGGCACAGTACTACCAGGCACAACAGAACCAACAATATCAAAACTACTATGCTAACTATCAGCAGTACTACAATCAGCAAGCCGCAGCCGCTCAACAACAACAGCAGCAGGTGCCAAAATCCTAAACGCTGGAACCTACAACAACAAAAACAACAGCAGTTTGCTTCAATGATCAAGCGTAGGCCAAGTTGTCTGCCTGGGACCTTTATTATTGAGTGTTTTTCTGAAATTTTTTAGCGTCTTACTTGATTAAATATCAAAATGAATATCCTATTATTAGAATCGCTACTCTCCAATAAAGGACGAATTGATTGTAGTTTACATGTTGAATTAGGCAAATCTTGCTTTTAGCCTATCAATTTTTAGCAATTGATTTGCGACTCGCGATCGAAAATTTTTTTTACGATCTGAATTTGTTTATAACACTGCCTTTGTATGCTTAGAAATGAATGTTGTCAGTTGATTTTGTAATAGGTTTTATAACTTTTCCAGTTCCATCAATGAGTTGAGAATTTACCGAATTATGTTATTATTGCTTTTGATACAAACAAAAACCGTAGTTTTGCATGTAGAATCTATTACAAAGAAGCCCATTCGACTTGTAGTAGGTATATAATCTTGCTTTGTAGTAATAATATCATCAGAAATTGACCTTATTGTCATGGGAAATTTGATTGAATATTTTAGACTTGAAAGATGTTAAGTCTTTGTAGTTGAAGCTAAGTTTTCTATTGCATTGGTAATCGAATGTTTATAATTGAATATTGATGGTATGCATCGTTTCAAGCATTTTGAAAATGTAAATAAAGTACAATTGTGATGAAATCAGTTTGGTTTTCGTTTTTGTAATGTTAGGACTTTGGGGAAGGTGCGCAGTTTCCTATCTTCAAATGAATTCAAAGATGTTTTTGTTCTCATCTCTGAAGAAAATTATTATTTGACATAGTTTTTGAGTTTGTCGCTGTGTTAGGCATTACTTGTTGAATGGGCTGACGTTGATTCGAGCTGTGAACATGTTGTTTTTGTGGTATTTGCTAACTCCTGGTCTGGGATCGGGCAATTTGCTCAGAAAGTGATGGATCGCCTGGCAAAACTAGCTGTGAGTGTAACCTTTTTCGGGATATTTGTTAGTGCTAGAGTTGGTTTGGACAGCACGGAAGATGATAAAATATTTGCCTGATTACCCTTCAAAGCAAATTATCGTCTCTTTAATATTCATATGTGGGAATGCAGATGCGATACGACAGTGGGTACAGTTTCCAATGACCCCTATCCCCATGTCATTACCGATTACTCTGTCTGTACAATAAATTCTAATTTTGCGGTCCTCAAGTTGTGTTGATTATACGCAGGAATGGTACAGGGAAAATATATTCCAAATTCCGCCTGTTCTACAGTTTGTTCGAAACATTGGGAAATTTTAATCAAAGGTCCGCCAGGTGGCCGCTGTAGTACTCGCTGTTTATTGTTTTAAAATACGAGTGTTGTTGTCTCGGGGTTAGGTTTGCAGTTGACGGTGGAGATTTTTTAAGAATCGATAGCTACGATGTGGCGTTCTAATGTTAATGAGAGTGCAGAGAACATTTCAGATTTTGACGACAGTGATACATATTCTAGTTCCGGAGCTGATGAGTTTTCTGAGTAAGTGACTTTGTTTTTATTTCAATAACGGTCTGACGGTACCGGTAGCAAATGAATGAATTGATGCTATTTTGCTGTCGGTTTATACAATTCAATCTAAAATATACTATTTATTTTCCTGCCATACTACAATGTTTAAATGTTGATCATTTTAAGCTGCAGCCTATGGACTGCGCAATTTTATGCTCTAACTGTATTTCGTTGGCAATATACAATATACGACGCTTTTCTAGACAATATAGCTATGCAAGTTTAAAATTTTTGTCCGAGGTTTGGGTACTTGTGTAGTTTCGTCCCACACTAACTTGTAATGAGCGTGGAGCAACAATTTTTTTTTATATGTCAGATATGACCTGTGTGATACCAATAATTTTATTTAATGCAAAAACGGCCTCTTCCGGAATCTTGATTGTTAATAGTCCGCATACTAAACAGTTTACCTGCCTTCAAATTTTGATATTTTCATGTAGCAAGTAACCTAGGCGGGTTCCTAGGCATGCGTGCCTCGTGCCTCATTTTCCTATCACACGAAACACCCGACCAGCCTCTCGCTTCTGCCCATCGAGTCTTTTTTATTATCATCGTTATTATGTGTGTTGATTTTGGTGAACGAGCACATGCATTACATGTTATGAACTTTATTCTTGAGTTTTGCTCGTTTTCCTGGCATTTCTGTAATATAATTTTTTGGGTCCCGTGTAGCATAACAATTTTTTGATATATCAATCCTAACCACTATCTGACTACGCCATCCAAAAATTACGCAACTACGACATCACAATTACATCATAGGGCTTGCCAAATATACGACAATCGCCCGAAATGGCATTGGCGCCTACGATAAAGAACTGACTGGGGTTATCGATCCCTCTCCTATTGGAATCGTTGCAACGAGAAAACGAGAGAAATAACTGTTCGATTTCGGGTGCTCATTTGCGCGTCTTGGATGGCAGTTTGTATAGTTTGAAAGGCTGTATTACGTCACTGTGACGTCGTAATGACATAATTTTTGGATGGTGTAGTCAGGTGGGGGTTAGGATTGATACGTGAAAAAATTGTCACGTACGCCCACTAGAAGTATGTTAGGTACAAAACTACATGAGACCCGATTTTTTTTACTGAGTGTTGTATTTTCTGAATGAATTGTATTATATTGTCATACCTAACCCCCACCTCAATAACATACTGACATATGTAAAAATGGTTATGCCAAGCCCACTAGAAGTACTTGTGGTACTAGATTACACTACACCTTGAAGTTTGGCAATTTAATGGTAACTGGCTAACTAATCCTGTACCCGACATGGACTGGTAACCGGGCGAGAGGCCATGGTTTGCCATGTGATTCAGCAGTCTAAACCAGCTCCCCCGAGATAAATATGTAAAGCTTATCCTATATTTACTTACTAATTATTTAGATGCGCATGCAATTACCTGTCCAGTGATGTTTTCAAATGATATGATAGTAAACATGTTCATTTCTACAGTGATTCAAACCCACCATGGCATGATGAAATAGATGATGATGGAGAATTATTTTTTGTTGAAGATGAGACATCAGTACATCAAACAGTGCAGCAAAATAGAGATGCTCGAAACAAAGTAATTTGGCATTAGTAGGCCTAGTTGACCTCTCAGCCAGGCTCCTATTCTTAATTGGAAAAACAAGACTTGGGGTTGGCCTTTTGTGGGTGGGGTACACACTTGCCATTGCACAAATTTTGGGGTGATAAAAGTTTTTATTTTGTTGTAAAAGGTTTGTTCTGCCATAATCTATAACTAAAGTTATACATTTTGCTAAATTTTTTCTCTGGTTTGTTGTTGGGAAAAAAAAAATCTTTACTCCATAACTGATGGACAAGTTAATTTTGAATTTTCAGTGGGCCAACTCTATGATGGAAAAGTTGCTATTTTAATTTTCTCGGAGTCCCTGATATTTCACCAAAATTTTAGAAAACACTTCCTGTTCTGTATTGCTTGACCCGCCCCTGTATTTCTTGTCTGCAAACTTGAAGTTCTCAGGCCATACCATACTTCACAGATGCATGACCTCTGTATCTATTTGTTTGAGCTTTGCTCTCATCTTTGAAGTAATATATTTCTATACAGAAATTTGACAACACATTGTCAAGCACAGACCTGCACGGTACAGCATCAAACGCTCCATCCCATCGACAAACCCATTCAATTAGCGCGAATGAACGAAAAACAATAAGAGATGAATACTTAGCTCATCGGAATCAGCAACAGAATAGACATCGGCAACATGATTCTTTCAGACTTCATTCAGATGAAAGCGATAATGAATTTAAAACTGTCTTTGTTTGTGTGAACTCGGCGTCATCGTATGGATCAGGTTAGGGTTATTAAGGGATTAGTTCTGAAAGTCGTTCACCCCTGCCAGTGAACGGGCACCTCTTATTACTCGTGTGGGTTAATTAATGGGTTCATATGTTTTTCTTAAGGGGGGCCTTTCACTCCAAAACAGGCTCTGTACAGTGTACACTAATATTTTTTTATTAATAGCATTTTTTGTTTGTTGAATAATTGATAACATGTTTGTTGGATTTTCATTTATTCAATATCAATATATTTTACATTTTTTCTAGGTGATTCATCTTTGTTGAAACAAATGCTTGGAATCATTTCTCTCAACAGTCTTAACGGAGGACAACATTTTGCGAAGACTAGCGATGATAAATCTATTATAATCAGTGCATTGTTACCTGATGGGCCTGCTTTCAGAAGTGAAGCCATTGAAATAGGTAAGTTTTATAACTTGAAAATGCTATTTAACATGATTAATATTTTCAATTAGTCTCATCGATTCGGAAAAAAAAGTTTTGGATGCGTTTTAACTTTTTCATTTGGTAAAAGACTTGATGCCAGCAGTCCTTAATATGAAAGGAGCGCCAAATTGTTCATATATTATTGGATATTTTACTTTTGACTGCCATACTGCATAATGTGTTATAATAAATGTTATCAGTTGCAAAGTTGAATTTTAATTATTTTCCAATTTCGAATTTTTTTTTCGAATAAAATTTTTACTGACTGAACGCCGATAATACTGTACTATTAAATGTATTATTTTTGGCCAACATTGAAATTTAGTAAATTACTCATAATTACTACCTTTGTAGGTGATATTTTACTCGCCATTAACGATGTTGCTGTTTATCGATCTAATATAGAGCAAGTACTCAGAAGGATACCCCAGAGAATGGAGGTAGGAAAACATTTATTTTTCCATTAGTAATTTGATATTTTAATCTTTTTTGTTTTTTGGTTAAATATAAGGGATCTGAAATTCAGTAGTATGAGATATATTGTATATAGCGAAAGCTAAAATGGTATAATTTACTATTCTAAATTCTGAAAATCGAATATGTTCAAAATAATGTTATATTCATCTCAGAAATTTGTACAAACAATTATATTTTTATGTAGAAGGTTTACTTCAATTTGATATTATATACAGATTTAAAAAGAAACTGAATCTTATTTTTGTATGCGTGTCAAATGTCAATGACTCAGAATGAGGGAATTTTTAATAAACTTGTTCTAAATTATTCTTATTAAAATCAAGAATTACTTATATTCATTATACCCATTTTGAAATGTGTTCGAATATTGAATTCAGGTCCATCGGTTATTCAGCTTCAAAATTTTCAACCATATTTTTGGCAATAAATTACAATATTATGAAAAGAAGTGAAAGCCTGTATTAATTTCAGCGTGCATCTTCTTGTTTTTAGTTAAAATTGACAATACAATGTGAAAAAATAAATCCTACAACACCTGAATTTGGACTTGCATTGGATAGCAACAATTTGTTATCTGACAGTGAACCAAAATGTGTTCCTGTATCTGTTCAACATCTAAAGCCTTCTGTTACAAATGATACAGATTTGCAAATAGGTATGCACAGGAGATCTATTATTAGAACTTTTTTTGGTGTTAGTCAGTGGTGCCTAACTTTGCAAGTGTGTCACAAAATACCAAACATTGTGATAAATAACAACCAAAATAACAACCAAACAACTGTTGAAAAAGATCTTAGTACAACCAAACAAAGCAAATGGAAAAATAACATCAATTACTATGCAAGCACAATAAAACAATAGCATATCCCAATATGAACTTTGCATAAAATGATCCATTCCGATAAAATTAGCACTGATAGAGAAGTATGACTGGCTATGTAGCTGTATCGTACGTTCCCGGTCTTCACAAAAATGGTAGCTTTTGGCAATTGTTGGATATGATTAGATTCTTGTCCTGGGCTTTGTTTCGAGTGGAGTAAAAAGCATTGTAAGAAAATACATCACAAATTTGAAAAGTTTGAAACCTTTTTTATTACTAATTAAAATGTTTCTATTCTAGGTCCTCACAATGCTGTGTTTTATCTAACGTTAAATGTTGATTCTGATACTGCGAAAGGAGAGGAAGATATTTTGTATTCTTTCCCTACGATAGATAACTCAAGTACCAGAAAATTAAAGTCTATTCGTGGAATTTTTACTACGCTTGCTGATGTAACAACAGACGCATTTAGGAGTGAAATTTTAAGGTGAGAATAATATAGGTTTGTTTGTTAAATAAAAGTAACCAGCCAGCTTCAAACTTTTAAGTTGAGCAGTAATAATGGAAGTTTTGTTTCAAACAGCAGCAAAAATACTATTCGAACGATGAAAATGAATTCCTGATTCGAACAGAAAAATATGAAATTTCAATTTAAAACACTGAAAATGGAGATTCGATTTGTTCGTCAGTAATGAAAGCAACAGCAAAAACTTATTTTTGATTTGAACAGCAAATTTGACAAATTCGACTTGAGTAATAAATTGAAATTTAAACAGCAAAAATCGAAATTTCAATTTGAATATGAAACATGAAGATTCGATTCTGTCTCAAAACCTGGATTTCACGAATAATCTAATTTCAGTACGAAAATGCCTATTTCCAGTAAACAGTAACAATAACAGTAATTTTGCTTCATGGTCTTAGGAATCTGGCCCCATTTACCGGTAGGTAGCTCAATTTTGAATTTACTATTTATTTATTCTATTTTAATTACAGCTCAACCATGTTTGTAAATGATGAATTGGTTCACTGTGCTTATTGTCATCATAATTTAGAAGTTTTAATCATTTGTGTTCCTGCGTCTAAATGTTCTTTGAATGACTTGCATAAGACCATGTCAAAGATGGTTAGACTTTTCAAAATCATGTTCGGAACATTGTCCAGGTAAGATCAGGGTTTGTTTATATACGGGCCATGTAGAGGACAAATCATTATGCATTTAGTTTTCTCATTTTTCTTGTTGTTAGTGATTCAAGAGTCTTGCCACACATTAGATCTAATATCTTTCTGTAACGTTACGTCTGACTGAGATCAGGCTTCCTCAGATATACTTAATTCAACAACACCTAGAACAAAATTACATTTACATTTATTACACTAATTTTCATTGTTGTTACTAGGAAAAATTACCCTTTCTTTGCATTTGATAGACCAATTTATGGGACCTAGTCTTTCTCTTAGAATTTCCCTATTTTATTTTTTTTAACTGAAGGGTAACACCTTCTGATTACGTATTGTTTGACGGCTTCTGTATTGCTTGTCCCCCAATCATTTTGATTATTTTTAACAACAATCATGTTATACTGTAAAAAATGATATATATACTGTATTCCAAATGTATACTCTATTTAAGACATTTTGGCTGAATCAGATGGCAACAAAACTGGACCTCCTGAAGTATGTGTACCAAGATGGCGCACAACCTGAACTCAGGTTGTGTACTAGGTAAGGGTTCAGGTTGTGCGACATCTTGGTGTGCATACTCCAGGAGTACCCCAAAACTTGATCAAAATTCATGATTTTTCACTACAAAGTCTCCTTTTTTTAATTTCTGAAGGAAATATTTTTTCTTTTCAGCGGTTTTCAAGAAAAGAATCACTCTCGACTTAATCACCTGTTTTATCTCCTATTTACGACAAATGCTTGGTTATCAAATTCTCAAGATACAATATCAAGACAATTCATCGACGGGATTCGTTCTCTATCTCTGCATGATGAAACAATAATCGAAGTTGATAATGCATTGACTGAGTTTGAAGCTGCTGATTTTGACGATGGTGTAAGTAGTTTCGTTTCAAAATAAAATCTATTCCTATAGTCAGAATGGGCTTGAACTTGAACTTGAATAATTTACTATTCCAAATATATTGTGTAAACAATATATTGAAATATGGAAGATATTGTCCAGCATTTTGAATTTTTTGCATTATTGGACAGGAGCGTAGAACAGGATTTTTACATTTATGAAGGAGAAGCCGATATGGCAAATGAAAGCTAGTCATTCATTTCCCATTCAATGTTGGGTATAGGTGGATTCACCCAGCAGACCTAGGTCAAGGCCATGGCAAGTATATTTCTAAAGCTTACGACTGTAGAGAAAGCATTTCTGCTTTTTATCACTCATATTACGTTCATTTTTTAGTATCACAGTAGAGGTTTAGCACGAAGACAATTTTCAATTCTCGGGTCATGTCTATTTTACAAAGGATATTTAATCTCTAATCATTTACCGAATGATCATCTGAATGACGTCAACATTTATTGTCAAAGTTATTGTCTTCTAGGGAAGTTATGTGTCGGTTAGTATTAAAGTCTTTTATTGGAATAAATAACTTATATAGACCATTTTTGAAATTGATACTATGAAGATAATGTAAGGTTTGAAAGTTTCTAGATAATACAGGGGTCGAGGGAAATTTACAGTCTACGTCTCCAAAATCTGATTCATTCAGAATCTGGGTTTGATAAAAGTGTTGACTGTGAGTAGAGCTTTGAAATCGGAGAAATCCAAATTTGATAAAAATTTTGGGAGTATATGTGCTCATTGTAAACTTGATGGTTTCATTTCTTTGATGAAATTTTGACTCAGATTATTGCACAGCTGTATTAAATAGCTGTATATTATGAGTCTTATGACCCATAACTTCAGGGTCATTTGAAAATTTAGGTGTTCGAAAGACAAACTTATAGTTATCTTATACCTAATTCATGTATAAATACAGTTTTTCACATTTGTCATGCTTTTATGTGGATCTACTTGACTGACAATACAAAATTTTAGGTCAACTTCTGATATGGAGAGAGATTCACCCAATGCACTCCGGCAAAACTTCAAATACTGGTGATTATAAAGAAATCAGTGGGAAATATTTTTATCTTATTGTTGGAATTGTAAGAATGCATTTACATTATAATATACTTTAGGATAATGTTTTCACAGAATTAGATTTTCCAGCAATGGATGTTTCCCAAGTATCGACTTCCTTGTTTATTTCCCCAATAGTGACTAATCAATAAGAAGCCAAAGGTCAATTGAAAATTCAGCAACTGCTCAAACAATCATTTCTTGCAGACAGATTTTTAGGCATCGGCCTGTTTTCGTTTTTTTTAAGTACTTGTCAGTTTTTATTTGTTTTTCTGAAATTTAGTTATAAATAAAATAATAAAGTTTTAAGTTGGTTTCGTTTAGACATAGACTATTCAAAAATAGCAATTTGAAAAAAAAAAATTTTTTTAAATTTTTCCAAAACCAAAAATAAAAATATTTTTTTGCTTTTATAGAAAATTTTAGCATCAATTATCACCATTGAAAATATAAAATCCAACTCAACTTCGGGGAATTCAAACTTTCAATCGCAACTCCAGACTCCGGGGAGTCAACCCTGACCCCAATGAAAACACACCAAACTCTGACTCAACAACCCTGAATATATCACAAAAGTTTCAATTTTTTTCTGATTTTTTTTACCTTTTTATTATTTCATTTCAGCGAAATAGTCTACTCTGTATATTACTCGAATCTGGAGGATGTACTCTGTCATCAGATGGCAAATCAGGACCTCCACCATTATATGTGAACCATGCTCGAGCAGCGATTCTACATTTGGAAAATATCAAAATTCCACAAAGAATTGATGAACATTTGTTCTCAAAATCTGTAATTTTATTATATATTTTTTTTATATTCTGTACAAGATTTTAGAAAAATTTATTTCATCTTGAAATGTGAGAAAATTTTGGGTGACATTATTTTTATCTTGATTGAGGATTAATACCACTCGGACTTCTCATACAGTTATCAATCCTAAATTTTTTTATTTGAATTTTTTTTAAGTTTTGATGTATGTTGCTTTCACTTTCTGGAACACAAACGCCCAACTGCCAGCTGAAGCCCAAACAGTGGTAGTAGCGGTATTAATGTAGTAAATAAAATAGAATACTGAAAAGTGACCCATTTTTATTTTATTATTTCATTCAATATTAACCAGTACTTGTTATTACTTTCATCTTTTGATGATGTTCAATTTCCAGATTCCTGAAATATCCAGTGCAGATTCCATGAAAAAGAAGTCTGGAAGTTCGTTATTTGGAACTTCTGTTCATAATAAGCCTCCAACTGGATCTGGTGTTACTTCATCGAGCGTTGTTTCAACGGTAAGTTGTTCATATTTTTAATAGTCATTGGTTCTAATGACCTTTTTTTTATTGTGAAAGTCTTTTTAGCAGGAATTATTCAGTTTTATATCTTTCCTATTTGTGTCCTATTTCTTAAATATGTTATTGCTTCTCTAGAACCAAGGATCAATCAAATTCCCGTTTTCATCTCCTAAAAAGTCGACAGCTGATGGTAGCAGTCCATTAGGAAAGACTGCTCAAGGTGATATCTATGTTTGCAAGAAGAGAGAATCGCTGCGATTCGTATACTTTAGTGTAGGGTGTGCGAAACAATAATTATTTAGGATTTTCGAAAATGCCAAATGTATTAAAGGCTGCCGGTCTAAAGCATTATTTAGAGAAAGCGTATATTATAAAATAACTAAGATTTTTTATTTGGTTACATCTCATGCTGAGTTGAAGGAAAGACCTTGCTTCTGGTCCACTTTTCAGCAAACTCGCTGCTCTCAAGCAATTTCTCACTGGTACCAATGCATGCCTTTCATGTGTACGTTAGGCATTAACATAATTACATTTCATTATTATTTACATTGCCAACAGGAAGCCCAAAGTTGTTCAACAGATTGGGAAGCCAAAAGTCCACTGGATCACAAGGTTCTATTGAAAACACAGAATCACCAGTAAAGGTATCATTTTTCACTTCATTTAAGAACATTAGAACTGGGTGCAACACCTTAGAAGGCCATGGAGACGTTCTCTCGGGCCTTAATCAAAGCCTTTCACTGGATACCATTTGAAATGACTATAATAATACAAAGTAAATTGCTTGTTCTCATAGGGTGTGTACCAGGTTGGGGTTAGCTCATGATATTATTCTGATTTTCCCTATTTTAGTTCTATTACGAGTTCTGGGACTGTCTGTGTTAGCCAAGTGAGTATACCCTCTGCCCATAGGCTTCCGTTCCTTTACAAAACTTATGTAAAGTAGGCGAACAAAATTAGTTACCTCCATATTGGTACACACACTTCTGGAGCACTCACAAGTGGGCAACACATGACAAAAGCTTGAGAAACACTGGTGTAGTACTAAAGAATGGTGGTGTCGCAGGTTGAATTTTTTGGGTACTATCGCCATGCTCACTACCTGGACCAGGGTGGAATAAATTGTATAGGTCTGGTAGATTTTAGTTATGCCAAAAATCTAGCTCCTTACATGTTGGAAACTGCTTGTTCAGAGTCTTGTTTGGGGAGAATATGAAAGCCTCCTATAGCCTATAAAAATTATTGTAACATTTCATTTGAATAGATGTATTTTTTTTTTCAGGGTGTTAAATCGCTGACATCAGCATTTTCCACTGGGAATTTACGCGATAATTTACCTCTTATTTCAAGTGGGGCAAAGAAACCGACAGAAAAACCAATAAGGTAGGTTTTCTGAAAAGTTTTTTCTCCAAAAACAACCTGTCAAATTTTATTACAATCCTGATCTTTTTTAGACTGGTCGCAGGTGTCAACAACACATTATTTCATTTTGTCAATTTGGATGTTGGTTCTGGTACAATACTATCATCCAGCGATCAAGCATTATCAAATTTCAATGGTCCTTTTCACAAAATAGTCTTGGAAAACTTTGAAAATGCAATGTCAATGTTGCACGAAAGATTATCTTCGAGATATCGAAAGGTAATATGATTATAATTCATCTCACAACATTTCATGTAGATGACTTTACCTTCGAACTCACTGTGACTAAATATTATTGTTCTCTAGGGTCGCATTAACACACTTTAAACTTTTTTGGTATATGCTGTTTTCTTATTTGAATCTCTTTATTTCGCCCTCACTATAGATAAAAAACTTATTTATTAAATCTTTAAAAATCCTTATTTTATGCGCAATGCGCGCAATCACACAGTGGCTTTTGCATAGTTTATGTGTGATTAAATATAGATCACAATAATACCAAATGGCTACGAATCTAGACGAATACGAAGTAATATTTCTGTATTACTTTCATTCAACTCGAGTCGTTGACTCAACCTTCATGAGTCATTGACTTAACCTTCTCGAGGCATTAGCTCAACCATCTCGAGTCATTGGTGAGAGTAGTTATGTTCAACTTAATATTATAACCCGTTTTTGATCGTCTTGATTTCTCTAACTTATAAAATAGTTAGAGATGATATCTAAAACTTTAATTTTTCAAGAATGCAAACCAAAACTCTTATGAGGAAGGAACTTTGTTTCATTGTCAAATGCCTGATATAAATCCAGAAGGAAGTAAAAAATCTTTGTCATTTGTACAATACTGGGTTATCGGGTGAGTTTTTAAATTATGTTTTATACATCTTCCACTCTGAATAAGTCTGCGTACAAGCAACTACTTCTGGCTTAAGATCAACTATTTTGGAAGAAACAGGTTTTTTTGGTTCAGCATTGCCTACCCAACGAGTGATTTTATATTTTATGGGATTTGAAAGAGGTAGTTCCAATCTGCAATGCCAACATAGTCGAGTCCAACACTTAACGAGGCAATCGCTAGCACCCGTTTGCTCATTATCAGTATTTTTGTCCCGCATTGAACTTTGGTGCACAATATCCTGACTAGTTTTGGCCAGAATTCAAAATCTTGGAGGTGGTACCAGTGTTGAGGGAACTTGAGTCGTTCATGCAATCAGAGTACTTGACCTGAGTCATTGACTCAAACTCGAGTTGCTGTTTGTGAAAGATTTAAAGTGACTCAAGTCATCTGAATGACGTGAACTAACTCTCAGTGAGACTCAGTGATTCAATTGTGTGGAGGAGGAATTTGAATATTTTATCAACGATAATATGTTCTCCACTTTCATTTAAAACCTTTATTATGTGGTAAACTTAATCAATTTTGTTGCAGGAGATTGATGACGAAACCTAAATTACGAGAGTTTTATGTTTGCTATCATGATTCTATCAAACAGAATACGAAGGAAATGGTATTCCGACTAGGATTCGGAATTGCGGCTTGAATCGATGCTACTTGAACTTGGGGTCAATCAAACGTTCTTAGCAGTCCTATAAAAAAGGCTGGCATATGCCAATTGTTTTAAATTAGCATATTTTATTCTACCTGAAAAAAAAAATTGCTTAATATTCTTTAAGATAATGTTTCTTTACTAACTAGCTGAATTTTTCCATGCATGGGAATGGTTTGTATAATACCGGCCAATGCATAGTACATTGTCGAATTCATATATTTTTTATATCTTTATACCAAATACATTTTTACAAGTATCGTATGAATTTGCTATTTACTTATTGGAACATATTAGATGCCGTGACTAAGGAATAGAGAACAAAAATAATCATATGTTGTACATCATACAATTAAAAGTTGCTAGGGAAAAAATTTTGCATTCAGGTATGTGTAATCCTGAATTGGGTTGCGCTCAGACTAACTCCCTTTCTACTACGCCTTTGCGTATACTGCAAGGATGCTGTAGCGTGAATATACTATTCTATTCAATTAGAGTCCTGCTGCACACTTAAACAAATGTATTTCTGTAACGTTTCATCTGACTAAAGTCAGACGAGCAGTTTACAACAATGGCAAGAAAAGAACAATGAGATTTTATTATTGAAAAATATAATAATATATATGACATGTGGTACATCATACAATTATAATTGTTAGGAACTAAAATTTACATTTATGTATAATGCGTCGCCGAATATACCCTATTACAGTGGCGGCGCGTCAATTTCGGTATAATAAAAAATATTCGAAAAATACCTCGATATCGGTTGCACAGACTGTCTACACTAGCCATATTCTCCCGACATGGTTCATTTTTCGCTCGCAAAGCCTTCGCCGAACGTCGACGGGGCGACGCCGATTTTGCCCCGGTTGCTCATTGTATATCGTATTCTCTCTTTTATCTTCCACTCGCCGCGTTTGTTTTCTGTTTCTTTTACTAAATCATGGGGGCTAGCCCCGAAATTATGACGACACAATGCCGACGTTTCTTACAACAACGTGTTGACATATTCACGCATTCCTTCTCGTTTGTTGGTTGCTTGAAGAGTTGATAGTTTCCTCGCCTTCGTTTTTGTCGCTTGTTTCGCTATTTGAATCAGTTAGAGACCTTTAGTCCATTTGCTTTCGATTTTCCACATTCCTTTACCGCTTGAAACAAAAGTTTTTCCACTTGAAACTGGTTCATCACACCATGAGCTCCTCACTTCTTTCCGGCCTCGCATTTCTTAGCCTTAGACCTCATAATGAATAAGGTTGATGCACTACTTCGCAGCTCCCGCTGGAACAAAAATTAGAGGTACAACGTCTTGGGCCTTATCAACCAAAAAATTGTTCACTGGAACAATCCCAAGACGGAGGAGAGCGTCGGCGTACATTCTGCGCAGAAACTTGGTATAAAAAACACGAATGGTTGTGTTACAGCGAGGACAAAAATGCACTTTTTTGTTTTTACTGCCTACTTTTTGCTACCTCCCGTGACTCACGTTGGTGTAAATTTGGTTTTAGAGATCTTAAACATCTTTCCGAGCGTGCCAGGGATCATCAATCTTCTATGGAGCATCTGGACAATGCAGTAAAATACCGAACATTCGGAAATGTTAATATTGCAGCACAGTTGGATGAAGGACGCGCGGTTTCTATTCGTCGGCACAACCAAAACGTCGAGAAAAACCGCCATGTTCTCGGTCGATTGATAGATGTTTTGAAGTTCATTGGTTGTCACGAGCTGTCCCTCCGTGGGCACGATGAACGGGCTGGCTCTTCTAATAGAGGGGTATTTTTGGATATGGTGGAATACATCGCATCCCTAGATACAGTATTGAGAGATCATCTTGATGCCGCAACTGTTTCGAAAGGGACATCTAAGGATATCCAAAATGATTTGCTCGACTCAATGTATAAAATTTATTTACAACATTTGGCTCTGGAAATTGAGAATTGCCAGTTCCTTTCGATTCAGTCTGACGAGACAACTGACATCACGTGCGTTTCCCAACTGGCTGTGATTTTTCGGTTTGTGAAAGATGGTAAACCTACCGAGAGATTTCACAGCTTTGTACCAATCGTTGATCGCACAGCTTGCGGGATATCGGCTGTACTGAAAGAAGTGTTACAGCCTTACAACGCGAAGTCAAAACTGATAGCTCAAACTTATGACGGCGCGGCAGTCATGAGTGGGTCGAAACATGGTGTTCAAGTTTATATAAAAGAAGATTTTCCTCATGCGCATTTTTTACATTGTTATGCACACCAATTTAACCTCGTTATTAAAAATATGTGTCTGATACCCCTCTCGTCCGTAAATTTTTTGCAAATGTTTCGGGGTTTTCTTCATTTTTTTCCGTTTCGCCGAAGCGCTCTGACCTCCTTCGCCAGATATGTAGCCGCCGTCTTCCAGCTTGTGCACCAACACGTTGGAACTTCCAATCACGCGTGGTGCAGGGCGTGTCCGAAATTAGGTCTGAGCTCATTGAGTGTTTCAATGGCATTCAGAGCTCTCCTGTTTGGGACGAACGCTCTGTGAGGGAGGCGGCAGGTCTAAAGCGTCTGCTAGAAGATGGTGAGTTTTCATTTTTTCTCGCTTTTTTCTCCACAATATTCTATCACGTGGATGTATTATACGGCGCATTGCAGTCAAGGCTAATGGATGGAGCGTCTGTGCAGTCGTGTATTTCAGACTTCTGCGATGCTGCATCTCGTATCCGGGAAACAATAAAATACGACGACACATGGAGTGCTTCTTTACGCCGCGGGCAAACAACGCAGCGTTTGATTTTGTCTGCAAAGGAATGCTGTGACATTCTGGTGAATCAAATAGGCGATCGTCTGCGCACTGAACACCTTGCCGCGTTCTCTTTGATGAACCCCAAAAATTTTTCAAAATTTGCACGTCAATTTCCCATCCATTTGTTGGCTACTGTCTCCAAATTTTAGCCCATGATAAACGTGGGTAAATTGGAAAATGAATTGCGATGTATATACACCAATCAAACTTTTTTGAACATCACATCAACTTGCGCGCTCTATGGGTTCCTCATAGATAACACTCTAGTAACTACCTTTGCGGCGTCTGCAAAATTTCTGGACATCATTTTGACGACGCCTATTTCTTCCGCCGACGCAGAGCGAACATTCAGCACGCTGAAGCGTATTAAAACGTATCTCAGAAACACAATAAAGCAAGATAGATTAAATTTCTTGGCTGTTTTATCCATTCACAGAGACGTTATTTCTGGGATGCATGACTTTAATCAGCGCGTTATTGAGCATTTTGCTTCCAAGAAACCGCGGCGTGTTGCATATATGTTCAAGCAGTAGAAGTCTAGCAGCATATATATCTATGAGTGAGCGACGCATGTCCTTATCTTTGCATTACCTTTCCTTTCTTCATAGTAACGTTTTAAACCTTATTTTAGGTTTTGTCTGCTTTCCCGAAGTTTCTGTTAATGTCATTGTATTTATCTGGGTAAATATTGCCTTTCCTTTTGAAAGAGGTTTCAAAATAAACTATGTCTATATTTATTAATCCCTTGACTTGGACCGGTTTTAAAGACACTTTCTTATCGTTAAAAATTGTCGCTTTTGCCGATTGGTTGTTACCGATGGAATGGTTTTTATACTCATAAAATGATGGGAGAACTTACAGCGCTCATCCTGTCCCCGTAGATGGGGGTGACTTGGTCCCGCTATAGCTTGCCCCGGTTGTCAAAATGACCACGCGCCGCCACTGCCCTATTATATTCCATCAAAATCGGCGTTGTTCAAAAACAATTGAATTTTCACAATTGCGTGAAATTAGAAGAAAGCGCGCTACTAATTTCACATTGGTATAAAAAATGCATTACACGAAACGGAAGTGTTGGAAGTCTATTCGTCAAAACGAGAGCAGCACACTCTGTATATAGCTCTGTAGTGTTAAACTGAAATGAAAGACGTAACAGATATGTCAAAACAGTCCAGACTAGTGCAATGGTTCTCAAAGTGGCGTAAGATGTCGTTTAGTGGTCCGCAAGTGAACGAGAGGCAAAGAAAATATTTGATTCGATCCTGCAATCATCAGTATTCGAAAATGCCCAGGCCTAGACTCTATACACAAGGACATACTTTTGATCATCAACAGTAGGTTCCCTGGCCAAGACTAGATTAACCATAAAGCAAGTACTCGGGGCATTGGGCAAAAGGGGGCTTCACAGAAATTTACATGGCCGAGTGTTCAGTAGTGCCTCAGTGTTTAATGAAATGATTTGTGTTAGGGTTAGTCTGACGATTCGGACCTCAATAATAGCTGGTTGGAATGAATTCTATTTTTATTTCTCAATATCATAGTTAACCTCTCTAAAAATGTTTGTTAGCTTGAGAACTATTTAAAAAAAAATGTAATGTAAATACCGTAGATCATAATTTGACCCTCAGTCAGTAATGAATACTGAAACTTACTTATTCAATTTTATATAACACGGAACACTAGTTACATTCCCATTATTATTATTTTTTTTATATTTAGGGCATCAAAGCTCTATTAAATTTTTAGGTCATCTAAACTTCTACAGGCCATGATCCGGCCCTGTCCCTGGCATACTAACGACGATGAAGTTTAACCATTTTCTTTCCTTGCAGTTTTTGTGTAGAAATGTCGGATATAAAAAACCAAATCATTGTCGTCCTCGCGTTCTTTTTGATTGTGATTGTTTGTCATTGGGGTTTCACTTTGTTGTCGAATAGAATTGGGCAATACGATATGGAATACCGCGTGGAGCAAAGTATCATCAACAATAGTCGACAAGGTGATGATGTATTTCACATAGCAGAAGCTTATTTGCTCCCAAATAAGACGAAGAAAGATACAAATATATGTGCTCCAGAAGTATGCGTACCAAGATGTCGCATAACCTGAATCCTAACGGGTACACACATACTATGTTCAGGTTGTGCGCCATCTTGGTGCGCATACTTCTGGAGGACTCAAAATTATATATATATGGAATTCGTTATACATTTAAGTAGGCTCACAACTAACAGCATCTTGAAATCTTCTGTCGAAAAAACAAAATAAGGCCGGCTGCTGGTAGCGTTTAATATTACTATCTATAACAGGGTGGTCCACACCCGACCCGCAGCATCATTATCTGTGGCCCACGTCGCATTTGCTAGATTGGATAATCGAAAAATCGCGTTTTGTGTTGTTTCGTCGTAAAAATAACTGAAAAATCTTGTTACATCACTAATGTCACTGAATTGACCAGTGTCACGACTAGATGAGGC